TGGGGTGGCCATGGCCAGGAATGGAGAAATGAGCATCTTCTGGATTCTTCTTCCTGTTTTTAAATTTTGCTGGAGTGCATCCTGAAGTAATCTTTTCAGAAACCCTTCAGGAGGCTCAGGGCTCTCCTCCCTTTCCACTGTGCAGTGAGGAGGCCTGAGTTTCAGGTCTCTTTTCCTTAAGGGTAAGCACCCGCAATGGCGGGGTTCCATTGCTCCCAGGTGGGTTACCTTCCTGCTCCAGCTCTCCCTCAGAGCAGGGGCCTGGGCTCTCTGAGAGCTGGGTGGCAGCGGTGCCCTTGGCCCGATCTTCCTGCAGACTCCCTTGGCCCCAGTGCCTGCAGGCTGTTGCCCGGAGCCAGGGGCTCCCCACTTGCACTGCAGGCTCTCTGCTCTGCCTCAAAGCCAGCCGTGGGCTCAGTTATCGGTAGAGAAGGTTGTTGTTTTGACAGTTTCCCTCCTTTTCCCCAAGCTCACGGCAGAAACTGACATCAAGATCCCATTTCCAGCATTCTGATGCGTGACACACAGCCATTATTTCAAGACTGCCAAGCCTCTCCCAATGCTGCGCACCAACGACACAACACCCTGTCCCTCCCACCAGGATTTTCCATCCAAGGCTCCTTCATCCCCATGGCACTTAGCATCAGCCACAGCAAGGCCCTGATGTGCCTCTCCCGGGTGCTCTCACTCCCCAGGAGGCAGGCTCCCCACGGACCGCCAGGCCCCGCAATCCACAGAGCATTAATCAGGCATGGACATTCAGGAGACTCAGTAATTACGGGAGATGCATGACAGAGGAGCAAAGCAGTTAAGGTCTCCAAATCACTAAACTGGTTGTTAGAACTAAAAACTCAACGTTGACATCCAGGTAGGCATTATAGTATTTGTCAGGAATGACTGTATCTTGAAAACTCGGAAGAAGCAACCAAATAGCTCTTCGAACTAACAGGAGCTCAGGGAGACGGCAGGATACAAAAGATACAAAGACGAGGAGCTTTCTTAGTTGGTACCACTTAGATGCTACAATAGGCCCCCCAGTATTAGCCCCCTAATGCACCTCCAGTTGTAAACTAGCAGGAGACATGAACAAGACCTGTACACGATCTAAATGAAGACAAATACTAACCCTTACTGAGGATCATACAGCACATCTACACACTGGGAAGAGTTGTGTTCCATGACAGGAAACTCCACGTGGTAAAGGCGTTAGCTCCTCCCCAATTATAGGCAGCTTGAAAGCTGCTGCCAATTGGTCTGAAGTTCATTTGACAGGAAAAGAGCAATAGCCAAGAAAAAAAGGAAACTTAATCTGCCATGCTGCCAGCTACAAACTGAGTCCTAAGGTGGGACACCGTGGCAGTGCCAGGTCATTGCAAATGGACAATAGGCCCGACTACATGGGGACCAAGCAACTGGACAGACTCACAAGCCCAGACGCACAGCCGATGGGATCAATGGTTTGCTCATCCAAAAAGACTTTTTCTTTTTTTCAGTCCTGGGGATTGAACTCAGGACTCTGCACTTGCCAGGCAGGCACTTATCCTACTGAGCTAGTTCCCCAGCCCAGCTCACCCAATAAGGGACACAGAGTTAAAAGACGAACAAAGTCTACAGGGGGAGAATGGACAAGTGGCAGTTTTCTTACATCCGTTGTCACACACCACAGGCCCAGGCACATTAAAGGTGGCTCAGAGGCTAATTATGCTGAAAAGAGAAGAGGACCGATAATAAAACTGTAAAACCTAGACAGATGCATGTATTAATCCTGATCTGATTTTCAAATTAAAGGCTTTCCAAAGGGTTAGAAACCACAGAAATAAAAAGTTTATGATTTGATTATGAATGAAAAAAGGGGACAAAAATCTCTATGTCAGTAAGACCACATTAGTTAAAAAGCAAATCATTAAGGAAATACTTGAAAAAGCATTATAAACTATTAATATGCTCAACATATAAAGAGTCCTCACATATCAATAAGAAAAAGACAAGTACTCAGTGACACAAGGAACAAAGAATACAGGCGCAGGACCATAGCATCGGCGCCCTGCAGCGCACAGGGAGCTCACCCTCACTGTGGTTACGGAAATCCAAATCGAAAGAGCATGCGGTATTTTTTATTAGATCAGCACAGCTTCTGAACACGACACCTATGAGCCGCATACACTGGACGGATGGGTGGGTGGGTGTTTTATAAACGTCTTTCTCAAGTAAATTTGGGACTGTGTAGCGAGAGGCTCAGCGGTGGTTCGCCCTGAAGGGTGGAGTCGGTCTCCGGACATGCTCCCACCCCACCGCACGGCGAGAGAGGGCCCTGCACATTCAGGCCCATGCCAACTGACAGTTACTATAAACGAAGACATAGAACGATCTGGTTCAGCAACATTTAGATTAGAAAATGATTTTCTACAAAAGCGAGCACAAAGAGAAACAAACATCCCCAGTTAACCTAGAACCTCGCCCAAACAAAACAAAACCTCCCAAAATAGCAAAATTCAAGAGTCTAGAGTGAAGAACAAGGCGAAGCAGGGCTATATATTGTGGAAAACACAGCTCTAGAATAATTGATATCTGCTTGCACCCACAAGTCTGTCACTTAAGCATGGCTTCGATTTATTTCAAACCAAACCTGCTGTGTTGGGTGGCAGTCCTGAGAGAGTGGGTTTACGCATAATGAGTTTAAACGCAGGAAATTGGATTTTCCTATTTTCACTGCATCCACGGAAGCAGCCTCTTATGCAAGCGGCCCACCCCTGCCCTGGGCTTGCCCCAGAGGGGCAGGCCGACCAATCAGCAGCGCGCTACTGCCCACGGCCCCGCCCACCCTTGGGACACCCCGACCTCAGCTGGCCGAGGGCGGGCTCACCCCAGCCGGCCTCAGGTCTTCCCCCTCCCACGGCGGACCCGGTTGCTCAGGTTGTGCCCACTTGCCTGTCGCTGGGCGGCAAGCCAGACTCCTCAGAATTTACTTGGCTGAGAGGCGGAAGGACTGCCCCACAAAGTGAAGGGCTGACCGTGGAAGAGGGATGTTAATTGGGTCCCAAACCTCCTCCTTGTCCCCATACCAACCAAGGGCCTGGCAGAGACGAAGTCTCGCTCCCTGCAGCGAGGTCCTCCACGCAAGCCCCTCCATGGGTACGGGGTAGGTACACGGCCTTCGGTATTTCCTAATCATAATGAAACGTCTTCCTTGCGCAGGGGGTTCTCAGCACCAGAACCCCAAGATCCAGAGATTCAAAGTGCTGAGCTCGCGTCTTCGGCGTCTCCAGCTTCTCGGCGCCATTCCCTTTCCCTTGGGCGAGCAAACGTCTACTCTGCCTCCAAACTGCACGGATAAGCTAGGCTGCCTCCTTCCCACCCCCACGCCCCTCCTGCTGCCCCGGCTGCCCCTGCCTTGCGGTCTGTCTCCCCGATGGGAGGCTGAGGCTCGCCCCGTCCTGGGCAGGGGCTGTGCCTTACAGATCTGTGTCCCTGGGGCTTGGGACAGTTGCCAGGTTACGTTGGAAACTCAATAAATGGCTCCATTTGTCAGTCTGCAACACACACAGTTCAAAACATCACGCCGCATGTGGTGACTGTGTACAACTTTAACAGTTAAATGACACAGTGTTACACCTCTTTAATACCTGTACCCAGGTTTTCTGGATTTTACCAGAAAATTTCTCAAATTATCTTTTTTTTTTTTTTTTTTTTTTTGCAGTGCTGGGGATTGAACTCTGGACCCTGTGCTTGCCAGGCAGACACTTATTCTACTGAGCTATCTCCCCAGCCCCCTTATTTTTCTTTTTAATAGGCCTGGGGATGAAACTCATTGGGGCCTTCAAACTGAGCCACATCCCCAGCCCTTTCCTTATTCTACTTTTCTGTTTTGAGACAGGTTCTTGCTAAGCTGCCCAGGCTAGACTTGAACTCGGGATCCTCCTGCCCCAGCCTCCCAGAGTGCTGGGATTACAGGTGTGCACCACCACGCATGGCTACAAAGCAAACTCAATAAATGTCTGTTGACTCCAGTGGATAAACGGATAGACAGAATGAGTTAGGAGGGAAGCAAAAAAATAGCTGCCTCCACAGTACCCGCTCCATCTGGGGATCTAGAGGTGGACTCTGCAGCCACAGTGCGACCACCACCAGGAGGGAAGGGGCTCTTCTGCTGGGGGAATAACGAGCCTCCCGGAAAGGGCTTCCCAGAAAGGACCCCCAGAATGCCCATGGGAGGCACAGGCCAGAGCCCTCCACCCACAGGAATTGCTGGAAGGCCAATGCTGCACACAGTGGTGTCCAATTCTCAAGAGTCAGCGGTGACCCCGAGTGATCAGGACGTGCACAGTAGCCAGTGATGTCTGAATGTGCCACATTCAGAAAAAACACTTTCTCTGACCCCACATGGAAAAACCTCCTCCTTTTCAAGAAAGTAAGGAAAACGATTGTATTCGAGATGACAGATGACAGTAAAAATACAAAACTGAAGAGTTTTTAAATTGCACAAAGCTCATGCTGCCGTCTTTAAATCCTTTCTTAAAAATCTATTTACTGATTTGGTCCAGGGTCTTGCTAAGCAGTTTAGACTCGTGATTCTCCCGCCTCCCCAGCGCTGGGATCACAGGCGTGCTCCACCACGCCTGGTTTGGGGGCCTGCACGGTGTGCTCGGCGCTCTGGGCGTCTTTAAGTCTTGCTCTAAATGGTTAGCCTACTCTTGTACACAGTTCTTGGAAATCAGTAAATCCTTGAACCTTTAAAAAATGATTCCTGCTTCCTTGAAGGTCTGCAGATACCCAACCCACGCACAAATGGTACATGACCCTGCTTTCTCCTACCCACCCCGGGAAAGTGGGATGCCTGGTCTGTCGATGTGATGCTGTGCTCACTGGCATTCACAGAACTGAGGCCAGAGAGGAAGTGTCAGTTGCAGGAGGGCTGAGGCCCCCAGACCTTCCCCTGCAGGTGACAGCTACAGCCTTTCAGTGTGGGGCTCGGCTCCTCCGGATGGCTGCTGCCGGCTTACCTGAGTTTGGTGAGATGTGTAAACTGCTCATGTCCTTGGCCAGGCCATTGGTTTTGGGGCTGGAGATGGGCGCGCAGGCCGATGTGGCACGGGGTGGCCTCTTCCCGGGGACCTTCACAGTGGTTCTCAGGAGGTCAATCTCTTTACCGTGAACATTCTGCATGTAATCCTGTTCAAAATGTTAAACACCCAAGAGAGATTAAAACGAGGACCTCGACACTTTAAGACACAAGGTTCTATTAGATGCCATGAGCTGTGACCCTGTGACCCTTCCACTGTGGAAAGCCTTTGCAAACAGCAATGTTTAAATCTGCATTGTATGGGTAACATCACCCTTACATCTAAAGAGTTTCGTGACTGTCCCAAGCTAATCCAGGACTGGAAACCCAGGGGCTTGTGGCAGAAGCCTCCCTTATAAGGATTAGAAAATAGAAGCACACACACAATCTGACCCTTTGCACTCTTGCTTTTTAGGTGGTACAGCCTGTGGACTCTAGAAGATTCCATGCTGTGCAGAATTATGTTGTCGCAACCTTCCTGTCTCGGCTGGGGCGGCTGCCATTACACCTCTAGGTAGGAATGAAGCGCTAAGGTGGAAATTCAGTTACAACCACAAGCCAAGGACAAATGTTTAATTAACAAGCCTGTAGGCTTGGTGAGGCCAGGTGCCGGAAATGCAGTGCACCCACGGAGGGTGTGGGGGAGCCAGATATTGAAAAGAACGTGCAGTCTCTGGCTCTCAAGTGCTGCATTTCACCAAGCAGTTCACACACTGTGTTCACAAAAAGCTTCCGTGCCTGTGCTTCAGGGGCGAGTGATTATCAGAAAAGCCCAGAAAGACAGAAACGGAGGTCTCTTGACTCAGCAGGGAGCAAAACAATACCCAGGAACTGGGTGAGGACGGGGAGAGGTGGAAGATGAGGACAACAGGCCCACGGGACCATGATCTGAAACCCCTCTGAAAACCATGAGCCACAATTAACCTTTCTTATTAAGTTTTGATTATCTTAGGTAGATTTTGTCATAGTGACAGAAAGCTAATACAGCAATGAGAGCCAGGGTGAAGAAACTGTTGGTAAATCAAGGGCTACGGACCTTTTGAAATATAATCTATTATATTGTTATTATTTATTTTTTTTGGTGGTACCAGGGATCGAACTCAGGACCTTGCACGTACGAGGCAAGCACTTATTCCACTGAGCTATCTCCAGCCCCGTATTTTTGTCTTTTTGAGACAGGGTCTCGCTATGTGGTCCAGGCTGGACTTGAGCTCACTCTGTAGCCCAGGCTGGTCTCAAACTCACAATAATCCTCCTGTCTCAGCCTCTCAAGTGCTGGGATTACAGGTGTGCGACCAGCTACTATCATCGTTACTATTTTGCACTGAGCCTTCTTGTGTGTGGACAGTGTTTTATGTACACCGGCTAAAATTAACTGACATGACAAGGAGCGAAAGGATGTATTCTAGATCACTCTCTGGGTAAAACATGTTAAGCGTTTTGACACGAGGCAGGAAGTAGGAATAGGTGTATCTTTCCTTGGCAGATTCTTGGTAGATTCCTTCTAGATTCTAAATTCTGAGTTTGCATTTGCTGTGCATGATTAAAGTTTGTGTGGCACTCGGTGTGGGGGACCCAGGGCAGGCTGGAGAAGAGTGCGTGGTAGAGTGATGCAGAGAAAACTGGGCCTGAGCTGAGGGTGAGGGGGCCTGGTCTGCAGAACGAGGAAAGGCAGGCAGTGTGCGGAGAGGACTGCGAGGGGAGGCGGAGGCAGGCCCGGCTTACAGGAAGCAAGCTGGCCACCTGTGGCCCCACTCACCGCACAGCTCTCAGGTTCCCACAGGTAAAGGGGGCTGGGCACGTCTTTTCTTCATCAACATTCAGAATGCTAAGGGCTGGAGAGATAGCTCAGTAGAATAAGCGCTTGCCTGGCAAGCACAGGGTCCTGAGTTCAACCCCCAGTACCACGCCCCCCAAAACCCCAATCAAAACCCCCCAAATATTCAGGATGTTTCTTGACAGAGGAAATGGCCAACACAATGCCTGATGCTAAGGTCCCAATTCAGGGGAAGGCCCACTAGCGTGGTCCAGGGTGCAGCTGCCCTTGAGGGGTGCATCTGGTAGGGGTAGGCAGGCCAGACTGCAGGGAAGAGGGGGCAAGAGCGATCGACAGAGGAGGGCAGGGTGGGCACAGGCAGTGGGAGACTGTGGAACACAGAGTGGGGAACACAGAGCCCTGGGTTCTTCTATCTGAGGACCCACCTTAAACTTGGTGCTGAATAAGAACTCCAAAGGCAGGGTCAGAACGAGGAGGAAGATGAACAGTGGCAGAGAGCAGAGGAGGGGCCATCAGGGAGGAGGCACCATGCCCATCTGAGACCAGCAGGGCACAGCCCTGCAGGAAGGCACAAAGCCTCCCTAGGTCCACAGGGCGAGCTGGCGGAGACTCCACTGAGCTCCGGCAAAGTGGAAGGCCATCTCTGGGCTGGGGACAGTAAACATTATGGAGTAGCTCCTGATGAAAGACCTATCCAGGATAAGATAGGTAGATACCTGTCTCACCAAAATACAGTCATCTAGGCAACAGGCTGGCTTTGAGGATGCGGACCACATACGGATGTGGGACAAAGTGCGTGGAGAAACGCAGGGGTTCGTGACCGAGCTCATCCTGACTGTGCTCGGCACTGGGGACAGCAAGCGACCCGCAGGAGAGAAGACAGTGCACTTCGGCTGGTTAGTGTGGGCCACTTAAAAAGCCAGGTTGCTCATAGCATCTTTAATTTACTTCCATTATTGTCCATCCAAAAGATGCAACCCCAAGTTTCAAACCCAAATTTAATGCTTATGAATAATGAATCCCTCTTTGCACAGTTACTCCTTTAAAAATATCAACTTGCTATAACTTTCTCCTTTAATGCCAATTCTTAACAAATTAAAATACAATAACAGGAGTGTAATTGAGCATTTATTGCTTATGAGCTCTAAAATGAGCCTAATCAGAGAGTGACTAAGCCCCAGCGTGGGCTCTTTTAATAGACATGTTTTAACATACAATAACCAGGATATTTTATTTAAAATTATTATAGAAATGTACTGAGTGTCTGCTCTCCGGATCTGAACACACCAAGGGAAGACATTTATCTTGAGCGCAGCATGGGCTGGGAAATCTGTCTTCTCGCCTGAGTTAGGCGTTGGAACTTCTGAAGAACTGTCTCTCCAAAGCCAGAATATCAATCTGGCACTTGTGTATTTCAAGCCACTAAAAAAAAAAAAAAAAATGCTAGAAGCTTACAAAATGCGACGCCCAAGGCACAAAAGCCCTCCGACCTGGTGCTGTGTAAACAGGTGGAACAGGAAGACCCACGAGCCCGCCCGTGGCTTCTAGCTGCTCCCTACAGCAGCGGCACTGAGAGGTCTGTGTGGGAAAGAGCCCATCCTTTTCATCTCTCCCACAGCTTGGTACTGGACAGAAGAAAGCTGCAGCCACTATACTGCGTCCGCTCCTCAGAAGTGGGGTGTATGGACCCCGGGATGGGTCTGAGGTAGGGACCTCCCCCGGTAAAATAAAGACAGCATGGCTGATTTTGATATGCAAATGCCACCGATAGTACCCTTCTCCCTGTTAGTTGTAGAAAATGCTGATCGAAGATAAAAGAGGCAAAAACCCTTTAACAAGGCATGAGGGTAATTCAAAGCCAAGTACTTTTAAACAGCACTTAACAAGTCCCCAGGGCCCACTCAAGAGCCAGCCCCCCCCCCAGAGGTGCCATCTCCTGCCCCTCAACAGCTTGAAAAAGTAGTAATTGCAAACCTATTTGCATTTTTCTTCTCAAGTTGTCCATGCTCATCATGTGGATTATTTTTTCCCCGGAGCAGGCGCCAGAGCAAAGGGACCCGTTCTGGCCACGCTGAGAACCAGGCAGCCGCGCCTAGCTGTCCCCTTGCACCCCACTTCCTGCACCTTTGCCATCCCTTGTTTTTTACATTTCGCTCCTAATTATGTTGCATCTATTGCCGTACACTTAATTAGCTGCATTAATGTGATTTCTTTTCACATAGTCAAGCAATTAAGAGCTATGATTGAGTTTCATTCAATTAGCCTCAACAAACATGCTAATTGATGTCCCAGATGCAAATGAGGTGCAATGAGAGAAACCTGCTAGCAATTGAGAGCCGTGTCAGAGGCCCGGGGCTCTCAGCTTGCTGACAGAGGCATGGCTTAACGCGGCTCCCGCCTTCCGCAGAGCTGCCTTAGGAGAGGCACAGGCAGCCATTAGCGCTGCGCTGTACCTGTGCATCCTGAGGCGGCGGAGAATTAATTCATTCGTTGTTGCACAGCGCTGCCCCAAAACTTCACAGTTATGAGATCCCAGGACTGGGATGTTATTGGCTGGGTAACATTTCACTGCAGCAGGAACAGCGGCACAGAGCCCTCGCCAGTGTCAGCTGGGAGGTTCCGAGAAATGTGCAAGAACTCTTCCCCCAAAGGGCGGAGCAGCTGCAGCCATCCTGGAGCCCGGTGAGCGTGACGCCCGGGCGGAGCTCAGAGAGCAGGGTTCATCTCTGTCAGCTCGGGGCATCTGGCACTTGAGCTAAACTCCAAATACAGCCATCCATCAATAGTCCCTAAAAATACTCTCACTATTGATTCTCACGCCTCGCATCTGGAGGTTACCTCTGGCTGTCTGGTGAAAGATAGTTTGCTGATGTCTTTGTAGGGAGACCAAAAGCAGTTAGCAAGATCTTCGACTACGCTGAAATGCACACACGAGCTGACTGTCATCACAAAACTAGATCTTCCAAGCAATGCACAAGGAAATCTCAGCGCTGGAACTATTCTTCAAACAGATAATGTAATTAATACGCTCCATTTTTACATATTCTGTACTTTTAACAAGATTTAAAAGCTTGTTTTTTTTTTTTTTTTTTTTTTGTTTTTGTTTTTTGGTGGTATCAGGGATCACACTCAGAACCTTTTGCTTGCCATGCAAGCACTTATTCCACTGAGCTATCTCCCCAGCCCATGAGGCTTGCTTTCCTTTATTTTCTGAAGCACCAGGGCAATAAGCCTGGGACAATCTACTACTGAGCTACAATTCTAGCACTTTTAATTTTTATTTCTAAATTTTTAGACTGGGTCTCACTAATTTGCCTAGGTAGGACTTGAACT